GCCACACCCCTGTGGGCAGAATAAGAGGGTCTGGAGGAATAATAAGTATAATTCTCAATTATTCTGAAAAGACTTCCGGGTGAAGAGATGGCAGTTGGGTCCTAGACTGTGGGTAAGGAGCGAATGACTTCTTTCTGGGCTCTGGTTTTCTTGGGAAGAGGCTCTGGAGAGACTAGCCATGCTAAAGGGCTTTCCCACATAATGGATAGTAGCCAGACTCTGTCGTATGCAACCAGGTCAGGAGCCGAGCACGCCCAATAGCAAGGGAGGAAAGCAGGCTCATTGCTGCTGTGCCCTGATTTGGTTTGCCTACAGATTACAGAACACCCAAACACACACAAACAAGTCCAGTAGTGATTCTTCCAAGGATACTGCGGTGACTTCCCCAAGTAATCAGTGACTCCGCCTTCCTTCTGCTCTACCATCCTCCGCATTTGGCTTCCAGCCTCAAGACCACCTCATGTTCCAATATGGTTGCCATAGCGCATGTCATCCCACACTCATTTCAGGCAGCAGGAAGGGAAAAGGGAAGCATCTCCCAGTTTTACCAGCCCCTGCAAGGAGCCTTCCCAGAAGTCCCCTTCTATTGGTTTAGCCAGAACTCAGTCTTGTGACCATACCTAGCTGCAAGAAAGGCTGGGAAAGGTATCCGTTTAACATGGCTCATCACCATCTCAAATAAAATTGTTTTTCTGTATCAAAACAAGGAGAGAATGGATATTGGGTGGAAAGTTTTTCCTGCAGTATCAGGGCAGAAGTGTGATCTGTAGCAGACTGCATAAGGATGGCTAGCTGCCTGCTGAAGGATGGTTTTGGTGTATGTTCCCTTTTTGTGATAGCTGGGGCTGTAACAAAAAAGTGACATTACGTGTTACGATCTGTTCTTGGCTGTGCTGTGAGGCCTTCAAGAAAGGGTCTGTGTCCGCTCCTGGGCAGAGGGGAGAGCAGCACCCACAGGCTGTGTTGGTTGAGTGACCCGAGACAGCACTGGCTGTGAAGAACCGCATGGAGCTTTCTGGAGCAGCGGAGCCCCTTTACACTCAGAGACCCTGGACTGAAGTGGTCTTACTGACGAGGGGGACACAAGCAAGACCCCTTTGAGAGACTCCTTGAGAAACATGAGAGGGTAGGAACACCTCAGAAGCGGGCTGGGACTGCTGCTGTGCAGGTAAGGGTGAACTTCGTGCTGAACTCTGTATGTGACCTCATTTACAACCCTGGACAGGAGAGCCTGAAGCGCATTTGAATGACCCGAAATAAAGGCTGCATTTCAAAACCATATGTTCTGTAAAGAAAGAGTTGGTTAAGAAAATGTGGATGCCGGCATTTTTAACTAAATTCCAGCTTTTAAAAGATTTTTTAAAAATGTAATTGACAGAGAGAGAGTGAGCACAAACAGGGGGAGTGGCAGGCAGAGGGAGAGGGAGAAGCAGGCTTCCCGCAGAGCAGGGAGCCCAATGCAGGGCTCAAGCCCAGGACCCTGGGATCATGACCTGAGCCAAAGGCAGACGCTTAACTGACTGAGCCACCCAAGTGCCCTGTAAATCCCAGCTTTTTAAGGTAAACAGTGGGTGACGCCTGGGTGGCTCAGTCAGTTAGGCGTCTGCCTTCAGCTCAGATCACAATCCCAGGGTCCTAGGATCAAGTCCCTCATGGGGCTCCTTGCTCAGCCAGGAGCCTGCTTCTCCCTCTGCCTGCCGCTCCCCCTGCTTGTACTCTCTTTCTCTGATAAATAAATAAAATCTTTAAAAAATAAATAAATAAAGTAAACAGTGGTTGGTGCTTACTTTGGTAAGCTTGGTAATTTTTTTAAAATAATATTTTATTTATTTATTTGAAAGAGAGAGAGATGGAACAAGCAGGGGGAGTGGGAGAGGCAGAAGCAGACTCCCAGCTGAGCAGGGAGCCCGATGCGAAGCTCGATCCCAGGACCCTGGGATCAGGACCTGAGCCAAAGGCAGACGCTTAAGGACTGAACCACCCAGGTGCCCAGCTTGGTGATTTTCAAAGTATGTTTTGAGGAACTCTCTAGTTTTGTGGAGTACCTCAGAGACCAGAGGGAGGCCAAAGGGGCTAGGCTTTGGTCCCCAAATATCACATAGCTTACAACATATTCATATTTTTTGCATTCCAGATAACTTTTCATTTGAAAAATTATTCCCACTTCTCAAAAAATTAGAAATTTCTGACATTAGTATTAAACTTATTAATGGTGATTATCTAATAAAGTTGGTCTCATTACCTTCAACACAGAAAAATTGCAGAAAAACTGAATAAGAAGATGTGAATGTATTATACCTACTCTTCTAAAAAAAAAAAAAATCCTGCAGTGCCTGGGTGGCTCAGTCAGCTAAGTGTTTGACTCTTGATTTCGGCTCACAGCATGATCTCAGGGTCCTGGGATCAAGTCAGGCTCTGTGCTCAGCAGGGAGCCTGCTTGAGGATTCTCTCTCTCCTCTCCCTCTGCCCCTCCTCCTGCTCACTCTCTCTCTCTAAAATAAATAAATCTTAAAAAAAAAATAATCCCAGCCTAAACAACATACATTGAGATACACAATGCCAGTCACCGTCATTTAGGTATGAAAGAATTTTCCGGACATCATCAACTACAACATTTAGGAAGAGAGGAAGGGATTCTACATGAGGACAAGCTTTGAAAACGTCTATTTATTCAACTGGAAAGATGAAGGTAGTGGTGGAGGGAATGGGTGGATGGGTGGAGAGTGCAGCAAAAATCTGATTAAAGTTTTCCAAGTCATGGAGGATAAAGAAACGGAGAACCATAGACTCTTTAACCAAATTCTGGAATACAAGACTTGGTGAAATTTGAGTTTGAAAGAAGCAGATATACAAGACATAAAAGGAAGTACTACTCCTTTCATACAGGACAAAAATATAAATTGGGTACAGAAAAGATGGAGAGGCATTATGGACCACATGAGTTCTTGTGGGTCCTGACTTCAGTGAGTGGCTCTTGGGACTCTAATAAGAAATGATAACCTACGAATGCCTTAGAGTCCATCCTAACCTTTTTGAGTCAGTGTTTTTTAGGGTAATCATGACTTTCCACATGTAATCCCATCATTCTACTTTCAGACTCGGATACTGGTCTGGGAGGACCATGGACTGACATGGATTCTTAGGAGTATTTATATAATGGGGAGCACTGGCATTTCCTCTACAGCCACGTTTTCCTAAAGCGGTGAGATATAATGTCAATCAAAGCACAATGTATAGTACACATACTGCTGCTACTCTCAACGTAAGATCATATGCCTGCTTTGCTTGGTTGGCATTATGCTTTGTTTATCATAACACAGATGGTAATTACAACAAGCAAGTACTTATGTCATGCTATGTTAATAAGAGCGCTTTTAGTAATCGTGACACACAGACCATTACTCCTGATTAAAAGTGAAATGTCATACTGAATACTTTGCACAATGAGTTAAGATAGTGTAGCTATATACAGATAGTTTTTTATTAAAACTATCTTTACCACCGAAATTCCTGCAGGAAAAAAAAATCGACTTTGTCACTGCCAATCCAAGGCTCTATCTTCTAGCGCTTCGTTTCCTTCTGAAACAATGGGATTGGGGCAAGAAGGTTACTTAAGAATGCAATTATTGCATGACAACAGAGCTGCCTGCAATTGGGAGCTGTGAGTAGGCAGCTTATCATAATCATCGGTAGGAGACATGATTCAGGCTACTCTAGAGAGGCATGAGCAATTCCCTTAAGATAGAGTCTGCTCCAATACTATGAGAAGTGTGGCCCTTCACAGAAAAGAAGGGGATTGCTGTTGAATTGAAAAGCTGCAAGTGACCTTTCAAGGTCATCTAGTTCATCCCCTTCAGGCAGAAACCCTTAGAACCCATAATAATTCGATGATAAGGCAGCCTGAGAGACAGTACATGCATTCCAGAATCACTCCAACATTAAGAACTTCACTGCCAAGAAATTCCTCTTGGGTTTAAATACAATTCTTCATGCTATGGCTAATTTGCTTTTGTTTTCTATTTTCTTCTCCTGAGAGAAAAATAAGCTGGAAGACTAAGGAACCAAAGGAACACAACCTGACTAAAGTTGGTGAATTCAAAACTAGACAGCTCGTTCTGTATCCATTCTTTCCCCCAGATCTAAAGAACAGTAAATGCTTTTCTTGGCAGGCAGAGGGCACTGGCAGGAGGCAGCTGGTCACCTGTTTGTGGATAACTAAAATCCTTTAAGGCTCAGGGTACAACACACCAGGGAATCATTTGCTAGTGCCAACCAAAAAGAAAGAAAAGGGTGGAAAAAAGAGGAAGGAGAGCAGCAATTTAAAAGTCTACAAAAATACTGAGCTACGTGGGTCTGAGCGTGAGGGTGAGCAGGAGGTCTCTTTTTCACCCAGGTAATGATTGTACGAGCCCCATAAGGAGATGGTTAAATCAAACACCGAGATGACTGCTCTTAAGAAGGGAAAAATATGTCAATCACACTTTGCCTTTGACACAAGGAAATTCCTTGAAACTGAGAATGGAGAGTGGAAGGGAGGGAGAATGTCTCCTGATGTGGGTGGCCAGGAAACCGGGGGCCAGAAAAGCATGAGAGGAGAGAGGGAGAAAGAGACAGAGAGGGAAAAAAACACAAGATTGAATTCTAATCAAAATGCTATGAGGCGTTCACACCAGGCCTTGAGAGAATATTAACAAGGTTACCCGAGGGGGGGCCTTTAGCCCCAGGAATTATTAGTGAATATGGAATTATATTTGCGCAAACATTACCAGATGCAAGGAGCTAAATGTCCTGCAGATGTGGAAGGAGCCAGAGTATGTTCCAAATAGGCAGCAGCTTTATTTGTTTTACCCTTCTTATGAGAGGCTGGGTAGCACGTTTCTGAGGGGTTACATTTCTGGAATGACCACCATTCCGCTGGGCCCCTGTTTCTCCACTGCTGCTTTCACCAGCCTCAAAAGTATCTCAGCCCAGGACCCCTTGAGGCGGGTTGGCAAACTTACCAGCTTACCTCTACCACCTCCGGGTGTCATAGTGCTCTAAGAGGATCATGGTGCTTTCAAGAAGGGATCTTCTGAAAGATGAAAGAGTTCAGAGTCAGGTAAATCACAGCGATTTCAAAGAGGAGTTGGGAACTCAAATGTAACTAGCTGATGTTGGCGGGGGGTGGGGGAACCCCGCAAAATAGAGGAAGCACAAAGTTTTTCCTTCTGATATGCCACCGTCATATCCTCAAGACTCAGTTTAAGTTAGATTCACCACTGCTGAATGAGACATAGCTCATCTCTGTGTTGGACAAGTTGTTGCCTTCCAGAGTCTCCTGAATTTGCAACCCCAAATCCCTACCACCGTCTTGCTCACTTTGAGTAATACTTGCCAGTAGGGGGGACAGAATTGTTCAGCACACCCACAGGGCATGTAGAGGTGATTGGCCATGAAGCTAATGGCATGAGACCCTTCCAAGGCCCTGGTAGGAGCTCTACCAATGTGTGGATATGGTTATATGTTTTTGTAAAGTTTACAAAATTAAACTATTTAACACTAATTTGTTAACTGGTTACTGACTTCCTCTCTGCCACATCTCCCTTTGTGTGGCTTTGCAGTTGAGTTGAAGATACATCACATCACTTTCGTGTATAGTTGATGTTAGCCACTGGGTTGTAGGAATGGATTTCAACACTCTTATCATTATCTGTTCACTTAGTGAGCTGGAGACCCAGAGTGTATCATGCTGGGATATGAGGGTATTCTACAATGCCCAGCCCCGAGATTAGGAAGACAGAGGAGGAGAAACAAAAATTGAAATGTACAGAGTCAGAAGCTAACCCATGAAAGACTTACCTAAACCTTACAACTCTTTCATGAAAAACCTTGATAGAACTGTTCCCAAATTTGACAACAATCATAAAATTTTGCATGACATTACAAGCAAGTTATGATGCTGAAAAAAAATTTCTAAACTATCAAAAATAAAAAACAATTTTTTAAAAAAGATTTTATTTATTTGACAGAGAGAGAGAGACACAGCGAGAGAGGGAACACAAGCAGGGGGAGTGGGAGAGGGAGAAGCAGGCTTCCTGCCGAGCAGGGAGCCCGATGTGGGGCTCGATCCCAGGACTCTGGGATCATGACCCGAGCCGAAGGCAGATGCTTAACGACTGAGCCACCCAGGCTCCCCAATAAAAAACAAATTTTGATCAATTATATGGGAGGTAAGTTAAAATATGTTCTCATTCTCTTTATATATTATAGAATTTTTGTCAAATGAAGAGGCCATCAGAATATACAGCACACATATATATCTGTAATGTGTACGTGTACACACACAAAACGAGTATTTCAAGTAGCTAATAAATTAAAACATGTTGTTTTCCTGGATTTTTGTGACATTTGTGATATTTGTCAGTTTGTTGTGGTTTTTTTAAGTGATTTGTTGTGACTTCTTTTCTTATTCTAAGTAAATATTCACTTTACTATCTAATTTTGTAATCAGACTTGTGTATTCTTTTTCTTAAAGAAGGCCTCTGCTATTGTATAAGCTTTAGACCCAATATAACCCAAATTTGCTTCTGCTGCTATGCTCCATGTAAACACTAAAACATTTTTTTTTTTTTTATTTCACTCATCAACGTATAAGGTAGGCCTTGTTGACACCATTTTAGAAAAGAGGAACCAGAGACGTTTAGTCATGGTTTCTACATGGATTTGAATCCAAGGTCTGTCTTATGCCAAAGGAAGTAGATTAGTCCTGGCCCTAACTGTATTCCCTACCCCCACCAGAGGGCATGCTGAATCCTAAAGTGATCTTTCTGTGCTTTATCTAGTCTGGTTTAAAAGGCTTCCACTGACACCCTTCTCTTTCCCACCCTAACCCATCTGCCCCCTGAACTACCTCATTGTTAATAGATCTGAAAGATCCCACTGCCAGAAAACTTCTCTTCATTTCCTCTCCATTACTATGAAATGTGCCCTGTGGACCTCTTGGTCAACTCCTTCTTGTGGTATTCGACAATTTTTCGATGGTGTTTACACTCCATTAAAGGAACAGGAAAGATATTTCCATTCATCTGGTTGGAAGGACATACCATCTCTGAAATCTTTCTTTTTTAATTAAAATTCAAAACACACCTCCTCCAAGAAGCCCACCACATTCATTCCAGGCAGCAAAAGCCCCATGCTATCTTCTCCAAGTCCCTTTATAACTTGCTGTTGTCTATTCACAACGACGCTGGATGTGTTTGCTTATATTCTCTTTCTTATTAGAAAACTCAAGATTAGCAATGCCTTACAATCTTTACTACTTAAACTTAAATGCATTTTTGGATTCCAAAATGTTTGTGGGAACTCAGTAAAACTTTCATACTATATGAAAGGAAGTGAAGTCTGTTTTTTTCTTCAGTACACCTCAGTATCGATCATGTTGCTTCCAAAATGAAAAATATGAAAGTTCATTTTGTGTAAAGACAGAAAACCTCACTTCTGTGGTGAAACAGAAGCTCATCAGATGCCTGGCCTTGTTCTCCCAAATTCTAATGCATGGCTTTAACGCTTTCAGTGGGTAATAGTGGCAAACAAAAATGCTTCAGTTTCTCTATCTATGAAATAAGAATTGTGTTATTTCTTTCCCATTTATTTCACAAAAGTCTCATGGGGAGCAAGAGTTAAATGATTAATGACTTAAAGCTCTTAGGTAAACACAAAATGCTTAATAAAAATAATCCCTCGTTGCCACAGTGATAGGCACCAGTGACCTGATGCTAAACCTTGACAGAAATGGAAGGCAATTCAGATAAACTTTGGGCCCTGTCCATGAATTAGGGTTTCTTTTCCCCTGGTGAGGACAATCTGAGCTCATGTTCCTGACCAGCCCCTGCTTATAGCCCCTGCAGGCTCAAGCCCAACCCCCAAGTTACATGAAGTCTATCTTCCTCCTTGCAGAGGAACAACATATGGGAGACCGTAAAATGCCCCATTGTGAGGTCAATATAATTTTATTCTCTCCCTTTCAGGGAATATGCCTGCTCAGCCCATACCATAACATTATTAAGAAAACTATTTGAGATCAAAACTCCATTTTTCATTGAGTTTAAGCCCTTTCTAAGAGAAGCCCTTGCATAGCTCTGGAAAGAGTCTCTGAGTGAACAACGTTTCCTGTCATGACTGAAAGAATGGAGTGGTGCTTGAGGGGTAAGTATATCTCTATTGGCAGAAACCATAACGTTGTTTTAAAAGGAAACGGATTCTGGCATATTTTTAGTTTTTTTGTGTTTATTGAGCATAATCTCTTCCTGGTTTTCAGGTATAATAAAGTCATGTGAAATCACCCTGGACTCAAATTTGATCCATGAGTAAATTCAGAAAACTAAAGGTGCATACTTCCTCCACCAATTCTGCTGCACATTGGACTGTCTTGTCCTAAAGTGGCTTTTTAAAAATTCCCTTCTTTAAGAGAATGAAAGGAAGTAAGACAGTTCCTATTAGAGAAAAGAACCACTAAGCTCTGTCATGTTTCATGAAACAGAGGACAAAGCAGTACAAGGAGCTTGGGCTTTGGAATCAGACAGACCTGAGTTTAGAATCTCAATAGTATCAGTTTCTAGCAGTGGGATCTTGAGCAAGATACATCTTCCTTGAATCCATTTCCCTGTCTATAAATAGGGACAAAATCTCTGTATCATAGAGCAGCAGTGAAGACTGAATTTGATATTGTGTAAAGTGCCTGGTAGAATACCTAATTTGCAGTAGACAGTTAATATATAAAAGCTAGTTATAATCATAAGAATGAAAGTAATATATTCCTGGACTACCCATATATCAACAAATGGTCTTGAGGATCAATTGCTGGGCACTGTGGGAAAGGCAAAAATACAATGATTTACACAAAATGAAACTTACCCTCAAAGATCTGACCATTTAGTCTCATTTTTGAAAATGCTAGTAAAAATACGTCTTTATGTATTCTCTACTTTTTCTTAAAATATATGCCAATCATAGAATAGGTTCTTAAATTGTGCAGGTTATAACTGCTCTACCACAATATACTTACTCCTCAGAAACACTGCATACCATAAAATTACATGTTCAAATGAGAGGGAAATGGAGAAAAACATATAGTGCTGTAACCAGAGCACTAACAAAACCAGTAATTATGAAGTGGGAGATAAGCCCAGGAAAGCAGATCAGCTGGAGGCTGCCTCAGGGGAAATTTAAAGATGCATAAAAACAATAATGTGTGACTTCTGCTTCTGGCTGAAATGGAGTATCAGGGACTAGATTTGCCAAAAATAAAAACCTGGACAAATACATGACATAATAGCTCTCAAGATGATGGAAATAAGCAGTGAAGGCCAATGGTCTTTGAGTGGTGGAAAACAATTAAGGTGAGCCCTAGGATTGCCTAGCTTACTGTCTGAAGAGAGTTTCCAGCCCATGACACAGAGAGAAGGACTCGGTGGTCTCCCTGACTTGAGGAGATGGAGCTGGGCATCCAGGTAAGCCAGTGTGGCTAGGATGTTCATCATAGAGAACCAGAGATGAGAAAATTGCAAAGAGAGACCTGAGATCTACCAGTGGGCCCCCTTCATGGTTTCAGTCCATAACGGAGCAAGCATGTGAGTAGGGAAACTACCTGAAACTACAGAACAAATCACTTATCACAGGATAAGAACAGGTTGTCCCAGGGTTCATACAGAGCCAGGACAGTGGCCATTCCCATCCTCCAGAGTGGAAAACCTCATGACTCATGAGGCTGAGGTTAGTAATAAGAAGGTTCCTTCTTCAGCAGTGGGAAAAAACTAAACCTAGGCGAAATATGTTCTGGTCCCACCAAATGCAACCTGAAAGCAAGGCCCAAAGGTATCAAACTGCTTTCAGATAATTTAGCCATATTCCAGAACAGAGTTTTATAATATTTTTAAGAACATAAAAATATCCACCATCTCATAAGATAAAATTCATAATGTTGGGCATCTAATAAAAAATGACCAGGCGTGCCAAGAATCAGAAAAATAAAACCCACAATAAGGAGAAAAAAAATTAAAACATAACCCTAAATGATCTAACATTACTAAATAA